AAAAGAAAACAGAAAGATTTAATATAATTATACTATAAACATTACTCTAGTTATGTTTAATTTAAATAAATTTAAACTTACAACAAATACTTTCCCAGTGGTAGTAAAAACTTCATTTAGCTTAACTTTGCCACCTATAAATTCAGTACAAAACACAAATTATTCACTGAAAATAATAATTTATTATTTAATACATTACCATTACCGCGAAATAAAAACTAAGAAATACTTGAGCTTTTAAAAAATTACAAAAAACCAACCGTTGACATTAAACCATCTTACATAAACAAATAAAATTCGCAGTATTTAATATTTTTCATATCGATAATAACTTTTTAAAAAATTATATAGCTATATTCACCCTTAAAAAATTTTAAACATTTATAAAATCATAGAAAAGAATACTTATAAAACAACTGGTTTAATATATGATAAGGATGTAGATTACGTCCACTTATAAATTTAATTTGAATTAACTTTCTGCAATTCATTATTCCCAAAGTATACCACATATATAACAAAATACACCAACAATTTTTGGATGAATATATCACAAATCAAGTCTAAATCAAATTTTATAAATTATTAAAAATACATAAATCATAGTATTTGGTTTAAAACACAGGTTCTGTTTAAATGTTATAGGTGCGTGCAATTTTTTTTCAATTTTTTTTGGTTTGGGTTTTTTTTTATAATAATATATTTATTAATAAGACTTCATATTTTCTACACACTTTTGCAAAACATTTTGCTTTTGTTGGATTCCCTTTGATTTCCTCACAAGTGACTTTCTGTGACTTTCACTAACCAATTAAAATGGATTTAAAATTTAACAACTTTAAAACCAACGGAAAAAACATTATAAAAAGCTATAAATCTATATTAAGAAAGTCCTTCTATTTTCTTGATAAAAAGTAAGCTTTCATTGTATGGTTATATATATATATCATAATGAACACCAAAATTTGAAAAACTATACATTAAATTGGTTCAATAACCACAAATACATTCACAAAATCAAAAGCGTCAAGCATTTATAATTGTATTTCTAATAATTTGAATATAAATGTATTGAGATGTTCGGTGCTGAGACTCCGTAGGAAATCATAAAAATATACAAAATATTCAAAAGTATAAAGGAAAATAACAATTATAAAAAGAATGAATTACTTAATAATGACGATTAACAAGATTTAAACGTTATTTATAGCTCAAAGCGAAAGAAAAATAAAATATTAAATTGCAAGCTCATAACTTTTTGACAGGGTTTCTCCAACGGATAAATGATTAAAAAGCAATCTTTGATATATCCAAACTTTTACTTCCTTTTATAAATTCAAATGGATATCAAATCAACTTAAATAACTACGATATACACAATTTGGAAGGCTGACAAACTCAAAACTTTAATACAAATTCTGACCTTAACTTATATATTAAAAATAAGATTTTCCGACATAAATCTACATAATAAGGACTTCTAAGAACTTGGAAAAGAGTATTAATTCTCACCAATCCCCATGATACCTTATACCAATAATATAAATAAATTCTTCAAAAATAACTTTGTAAATACTGGATAAGGCTTTCAACTGAAACAATTACTGGATTTTAATTAGACTTCATCTTCTGGAATTCAATACAAAAGGCTTAAGATACCTTACTAATTCTACACAACTTAATACAATCTTGTATTAACAGAAAATAAACTAAGTTGCATCAATAATTAGGTACATCCAAAGTACCCGAAAGCGCTTTGCTGAACTGCAATTAAAATAATAGCAAGTTTTGATATGATTCTTAATTCCTCAATAACAGCTATATAAGCCGCTCTGAAAGCTATTTTTGACAATTCTTCAGTAGTGCTAGCTATTTTTCGTTCTATTTAAAATGCAAATGGGAAACGTGCTTTTAAAAAATGTGAGGTAGAAGTCATCTTCAAAAGCTTGCACAAAAAACTCTTCAACACCAAGGGAAACTTATCACCAAACAAATACACAACAAATGTGACATCTTTACTATAATGAACAACATGCAACATGAATGAATGTGAATATGTAAATGTTTATGTTCAATTTCCGCTCACAAGTATCGTATATATGTGGTATATCCTAACGAATGAACACAATACTGGTTTACTATAGACTTTTCTGCTTTTCACTGATCGCTTTTCCACAAAAACTTTCCTGTTTGCACGAAATTTTTGTATTGTATAAGTACGAGTACTAAACTAATGACAATGAAGCCTTAGCCTTGTTATTAATAAGCGTACAGAGCAACATTAGTTATTCTATTGGTCATAACTTCATATTAATCTAATACTCAAAAGTGGTATATGAGTTATTAGCATCTTGGAATATGTTTCATAAATGGATCATCAACACATACCATTATCCCAATCAGCTTTAAAGTTTCTACTCTACTATTCTACTTGTATACTCATTGTACTTTCTCATTTTAAAATAGCAAATGGCAAACACAGTAAATCTGTACATTTTAATGTGTTAAATTCACAGAAAATGATAGATAGCTTTGCTAGAAATAACAAATGCAACCATAAAAGGATAATGATTAATAAGCATTATAACACGAAACTTCAATCGTTATCAAATATGACTGATATAACTTCGAAAATGAAATATTCTTTAATAATGAATAAAAAGCTTTTATTATATCAAAATTGGAATAATATTACTTCGATAATGAAATATTCTTCAATAATAATTAAAACTTTAATTATCAAAATAGGAATGATATAACTTGGATAAAAGATATACTCTTCTATTTTAATCGATATTTATCCTTTGGCTTATAATGCATGGAATAAAAATAATATGAATTAATCATATATTGCTCTGAATAAATCGCTTTTCAAGAGCTCCTCAACTGAAAAATATATAAAATCATATGTTTGGAAAATAACTTCTTACACGTTTTTAAGAAATTAATATATCTATCCTTATACATATTGGCAAATCAACTCAATGATCACAATTTAATGGAAGCAACAGACCCATAATTATGAATATCCTTCGTTTTCGTTTATGAAATACATAAAACTACCATTATCTGTATTGATTTATATACATAGTTATATATACAACCATTCATTAAACAACAATTATACCCTCAACTCAACAATATATTTTATTACAACAATCTTCTCTATATTGGCAAAAGCATAAAAATAGCAAAAACGAAACAACGAACTTCATGAAAACAACAAATACCCTTCAACATCTACCCATCGGATAAAATTCACCAAAGCAAAGGCTTTTTTCAAACAGAAATTAACAATTAAACGAAATTACTTTGATAACCACAATAGTAAAGTTCTATAATTCATCATATCGGAAATCTTCAAAATTTCCGTCCATCGTTGGCTTCTAACCTTAGGTAAATGTGAATGTCCTACTGTCATTGATGCTTCTCTTTGTGCTTGAATTTCCACTTGTTTTCACTTAAACTAATTTATGAAACTATGTTTGTTTTGTATGGATGTGGGTTTCAGTATGAACTTTCTATAGCACGATATATAGCAAGTAAATAATCATATTTACAAGTATATATTTTTTTTTAATTTATTTTAACAAGTCCACAATCTAATATATATTTTAATACACTTTGCGAAGTATATATTTCATGTTTTTGATTTTATAAAACCGCATTACCCAATAAACCTAAAAAGCTTCAAACCCCTTTTCCAATCCCTTTCGTACGAAAAAAAGGCATCAGGTTTTCGGGTGAGGTTTCTGATGCTTTGTCTTTTATTTTTGCGCCTTTTTATAAACCCCTTTGTCGGTATTGCAAATACCATCAAAAAAACCTCACCCACCAAATATATGAACAAAGAGATACAAATTTCAATCAATTAACTTGGCATTGGCCACGTTAACAATATGGCTCATGGACCCAAAGAAGGAAGGATGACACTCACGCCTTAAGGAGGATGCTACCACTACATGTTGAAATTGCTTGAAAAATTCTTCAAAATAAAGATATATTTACCTGTTTTACTGTTTTTAAGAGTTTTAAAAATATTGCTACATGTTTGTAGTGTTAAATAACATCTCTCTAGGTACATCACCAACTATGAATGGCAAACTAGAAGACTTATCAAGATGCTGATGTGGGATGGAAGAGCTCCACTTGCCCTGAAAGAGGTCAACAACACTTCCTGGGAGTATTTTTGATCCATATATTTTATCAGATTGTTCCAAGTTAAACTTGAATAAATGTATACTATGTTAGTTAAAAAGTTATGCGTTTTTGTGAATTTTGGAAACTGGAACGCAGCAGGTTTGCTATATATTCAAAAATATAAATTACTGGGAAAGATTTTTAAACAGTTTTAACAAGTAAAATTTCCAAATCCAAAGTAAGTCTGTAAAAGCTATCATTATACACGAAACTCGTAAAGTATTTAACAGGAAGAAGGAAAGCGTTTCAGGCGCTGTAGACCCTGTTAGCCAACTCCATTAGCCATATTCATCTGTCCGTATGAACTTTGATATCTAAGCATGCAGATTCTTGAGAGGCAAACGCAGCGCGAGTTGATTTCAGCATCCTGCCACTTCCACACTAACACACACAAACTACGAAAAACTAAAATCGCTTAGACCTCAGGACCACCTATGAAGGTAGAAGTTTTTTAACCAAATATCTTGTTTGAAATTAAAAAAAAAATCGAGAACGACTTGCGAAAGCGTCATTGGATCTTTTAACCTTAAAACCTTGATTTTTGGTTTTTAAAATTATATAATACGATATAGACAAAATAAATAAATTCCGATTCAAATTATACTATCTTACATTAAAAACGTGCCACACGATGATAGTTGGAGCTGGCGTGTCCACTGTTAAACTTGAGCTTTGTACCCACTAAATATGGATTTAATAAATATTCTTAGTCTTCCATTTCTGATTAATTTGGCTATTATCCTTGCCTGACGTCACACCCCATCACCACATCATTTGAATTAGATAAAAAACAATCAAGATTTATTTTTAATTAGTTTGTATTTGTATTTATATTAGCTTAAAAAACAATTCCAAACAAGGTAAGAACACAGTATTCAAAACATTCAATTATTGACGAAAATTGCATACATTTTTCTTCACACACATGAACTAAACCGACGGCATAAATTGTTTTGTTTAATTTGTGATTTCTGATTTCAGATTTCTGCTTGCTGCACTCGTTAAAATAGACAATTAAAATGATTTATAAAATCGCTTTGAATATAAAAATCACTTATATCTAATGCTTAGCGTTCACATTCAGATGGAGCAGCCACGCCCACAAGCTGAGCCCGACCGCCCATCACACATAAGTCGACTGCAGTTGGCCATACACAAAAACTGGATAAAAATTCAAGCGTTGCTTTGTCTATTTACAAAAATATGTTTGCACGTTTATGTTTGGTTTGGTTTTATGTTTTTGTTTTTTCATTTTTCTTTTAATTAATTAGCAGTTTTTAGAAACATTCGAATACATTTTGTGGAGACCGTTTGGAACATCAATAACACGCTAAGGTTCTGACAATGACACAAGTAGACAACTAAGGCAGGATCTGGAGCTAAGTTGGAAATCGAAAAAGGGTTATAGGTAGGATGGGGCAGTGGGAGAAGAGTAAAGTGTCTCAGTTTAACAATTGCAAAATAAACCATTAAAGCGGCTACCAAAAGGAATTTGAGTCCTGTTTTGGATGGAGGATGGGCTTAAAACTTGAAGTATTATTTAATATTTCGCTTGATTCGTGTGTCTTTCGGTTTTGTTCGTTTTTTAAAATGCATTTATTATTATTTAATATGCTCGTATTTACGTTTTAAAAGCTGACAACAAATGGAAATGCCTATTTAGAGAGAGGTACACTCAAAAAAATGTTCAAGCACAGAGGCTGCTACTCCGTCCGATCATCATTGTACATTTTGTACATCACGACTACTGATTTGTCTGGCCACAACGATATGGAGTGCTGCTCTGCTTCTGCTTCCGGTTTGTTCCGTCTTCGTTTTCGTTTCCGTTCTGTTCCATTCCATTCCTAGTGTGTATTCCTATTTGGATGTCGACCTGGTGTTCGAGTTTATAATTCATTATCTTCGTATTACTATATAAGTGTTTGCTGAATGTATACGTAGTACTTAGAAAGTAACCCTTATGTTTCGACGCCACCAAGCATGTTCGTGTCCTGCCCAGCAAGTCGTCGGTACCCTAGCCACAATCCTCGTTTCGTCCTTTAGCTAACTAGCAATTAGTTACATATGTATACTCACACCGTACCGCGTACCGGGGGTCAATTCGCATTACATTCGCTATTTACATGGAACTCAAAGTTACGCTTCATAAATTTTGACTAGTTGCCTTGAAGGGGTCTCTCTGTCTCTCTCTCTTTCTGTTTCTATCGTCCTGCTTATGTTCTCGCTACTCCTTAATTGGTTACTCGTTAGTCGTTACTCGTTATTAGTTCGCTTAGGTTTTCGGTTTTGGAATTTGGGCAAAATGCTTGCTTGCTTGCTTTACTACATCGAGAGAAAAATGCTAGTTTTTGAAATCCTTTGGATACACTTGATCATCATTAATTCCTCATTCATTAAACTCTAGCAGATGCTGTCCGGCTGTTCTCATCGTTCATCTGCTAATGCAGTTGCTGTTGTGCTTCTATCAGAGATTTACACAGTTGTTTATTCTAGACCTATATCACCGCTTAATTGTCTTAAACACTCTAATTATTTTAGCTTCCTTCGCTACCGATCCGACACCATCTGTCTTTCATTCGTTTGGTTGAGTCGTGAGTTGATTTGTATTTGTATTTGTGTCTTACAAAGTTAGTTGATTGATTATGAAAGTGGTGTGCCTCTACTTATCAAAGTTGCTCAAATTCCTCACTTTTATTTCCCTTAAGTCCCTAGGTATGTATGTCTGCCTGCCAGTATATATATATATAACTATTACAATGAATCATACAATATATGCGTACTTTGCAAGGTATTAATTATGTATTATGAAACCAATGCGATCCTATGCAAAACGTTATTCATTATATATACTCATGTATGTATGTATGTACGATTTTGCTTTTTTGTACATAAAAATATATTGTATATTTATGCCATATTTATTTATGCGCCGCTGTACGCTGCATAATAATCATCCGTCATCTGCTTGTTTGTACATTTTGAAAGCATCGCGAAATCCATTTCATTTTCATATATATGTTTATATATATATAAGCTTAAAATGTTCTGCCTTCGTCCTGTGTGTTTCATATGTACTTTGTTGTAGGAAACATTTCGGAAATTATATATAAAAAATACATGCCATAAAACACACTACAAGATGGTTTAAAAAAAAAACAAAACGAAGAAGCTTTTAGCTTGTATTCGTATAGTTGTGATGTCTTTCCTCTGGTTGGTTTTATGTTTTCAATGCTTAATGGATATTCGTACTATAAATAAATAGCATTCGCAGCATACTTGCTTTAATAGTGGCGCTACTTTTAGTAATAGACGCGTTTAACTAGGCCTAATACAAATAGCGCTGATCTCTAAGGCTGTATTGCAAACCATTTTCCATATTGTGTCTGTGTGTTTGTGTGGCAGAGCATCCTGCTCGTCTTAATTTATCGAAATCTTGTTTTATTTTAAGCACTTAGAACTAAACAAAAGTGTGTATCATTACTAAAGAAAAAACAATACATTATATACAGCCAAACCAGTGCAAGTGGTTCGATTTCGCCTTAAACATACTACACGAAATATACAATAAGTCTTAGATGTGTCTTGATACATGTCGATCATAATGGGTTTTGGTTTCGGGGATTTAGTGATGTATACGTAGCGCTTTGGCTTCTCACGCTTAGCTGCCTATATCAAGTCGTAGTCCCTGCCATTTCTCCCTCAGCTGTGCAGGTGTAGCCATGAGGCCATCGCCACCAGGAGCAGCCAGTTGACCAGAAGAGTTTGTGCGGCACTAGCTCCAGTCTCGCCACATTTACCTGAGGTTGAGTAATGCGTTAGTTTTCCTGATATTTACCAAATTCACGAATCTACTCACCCAAAACTGACAAATTGGCCTCTAGATGGTGATCTGGTGGCTTCTGTGTGCCGCGATAGCAGGCATCGCCCACAACCAGCTTGGCAGCGGTGCCCTCCGTGGGTCGGTAGGTCAGACAGACTCCGTGCTTGCTGCCCTTGTGGCGGGCTATAATGTAGAAGGTGCTGTTCTCGCTCCAGGATCCATGACAGGAGTATTCTGTAAATCAGCAGGAATGGTTTATTGTAAAGAACATATGACAGACTCTAGTATACGTTAAGTTAATTGCTAACTTAATTGTTAATTGTCAAAGTAACTGATTATATATATTATATAAAAATATTAGAAAAATAAGAATAATAAAATATATGAAGTAATAAAATATATTATCTTTTGAAAGTTCTCAGAAAATATAATAGTTTAGTTAATAACTAAGTCTCTCATAAAAAGCAAAGTCATGAAAAAGCGGAAAATCTTTTTACTCTCACACCCCTTTAATCTCTTTATAAATGACTAATGTAAATAAATGATAGAAAATCAATACTTTAATTTAGTCTAGAAATTATATACTTGGAAAAATGAAATTCTACCTCCTGTCGCTAGCAGTCGCAGAGTAGCCATAAATTACCCACGTAAAAAGTTGACAACCACTTACCCTCTTCGCCATCAACACTGCACAGCGGACTGACGTCTATCAAATTTTCCGCTGTACAACCCACCCATAGCTGCCGCTGGGCATTGTAGTTGGGCACACAGCCCGGGACATCTCGTCTATTCCGCGTGGCCACAAATCCCACGCTTGTATCGCTGCTGTTGACCTTTTCCAGGACCAGCGACTGCTGCTGCTGTTTCTGTTCCTGCGGATCCTTGGGTGCGTTTCGTCGACTACGAACTGGAAGGCCTCGAGTATTGGCATGCCAGGAGCCGCGCTCCATGCGCTCCGCGTTTCGAAAACTCAGCGAACTGTGTCTGTAACCACGGAAATAGATTGAGAAATGCCAGAGGTGGCGGTCATACACCGGACATACCCTTTATGCCCGAAATTTCCCGAGTCAGCAGCCTCGTGGTGATGATGTCCATGGCCCAGATGCGATTTTCCATTGTGATTGCGCTTGTGGCGCGTGGCCAGATACGGTGGTCCAATGGCACCACGTAGCGTGTAGATGCCCTCCATGGGGCAAATGGCCAGGTCCGGATTGCTTGCTAAAAAGCGAAATAAACAAACGTTTGACAAGACTGGCACAGCCGGTGGGTAAGTCAGTGCAGTTTACCCAGCAAGGTAATGTAGGCCATCTTATTGATGTCAAAGTGATCCGGTGCACAGGCATCCTCCAGGCGAATGGCCGGCTTGCCCGTCTGTATCTCGATGACGAACGTGTCCCGGCGGTAGAACATCATACACATGAATCCCGATTGGCTGTGGGCACCAAAAAAAAGGAGGCAGTCAGCATTGAAATCGGAGCGGAGGCTAAAGGGAGGTCATATTCAATTTGGGGCCACTTACCACCCGGTGGTGTAGTGCACCACGGCCATCATTTCGGTCGGGGTCTGTTTATTTATTTGCTCGCAGAGCGCACGTGTCTCCATATAGCCGTTGGGCTTAATAATGTGCACGGACCCGTCGCTGCAAATTGGGAAAAGGTAGAGGTTCAGTTTCGGTAACGGTTTTGGATGACAACTTGGCCGCAGGCCTGATTGCTACTCACTTGGAATGATAATTGTAGACGGCATTGCCCATGAGGGCATGCCAGTGGCGTGGACCCTTGAACCAGGCCGGGAAGTCGCAGCGTTCAGCAATGGGGGGTTTTCGCAGCGACATGATACGTGAGCCAACCTGTGGGCGAAAGTTAGTTAGATTAGAAGTTGGGCGTGGCTTTCAAACAGTCAAAATAACCGTTTCGATTTCGGAATATTTTATGAAATATTTTTAAACTAAATTAAATATTGTATTTTATTTTATATTATTTTTAGTGTATTTTTAAAAGGTATTTTATAAAATCTTAATTTGAACTTTCAAATAAAGTTTTTCTCTGAGTGCAGTTAAGTGAAAATGGCAGGTTAACAGGGTGGGGGTGACTGTGGGAGTGCGAGTGGGTCTAGGGTTGGGGCTTCGAAAATGCTTACCTCGGCACTGTCTAAGCCATTGCAAGTGGCGTCGCCGGATTGGGCCAGCTTATATTCGGCATCCTTCGAGCTGGGCAAGCTGGGGCCGCCTGCAAAAGGGTACAAATGTACGGGTATTAGGGCCCAAACAAAAGTTCATCCTGTTTGCCCGGGGGCTGGCTGGGCTGCTGCTTACCCATCAGCGAGGAGATTTTCTCGTAGACAAAGCAGCGATAGCGCTCCTCGTTCGAAATGGCATGATGGTGCGAGACGAGGCCGACCAAATAGCGTGAGTTGCCATCCTTCCAGGTTGCCAGGCAAGTCAGCTCCTCGACTGCAGTAGGAGCGGCACCGAAAAGAAGCAAATGAAAGGAAGGAAGTTAGGAAGGATGTTCGTCTTGAGCTCCAGCAGTGGGAAGGCGATGAGTCATTGTCAACGGCGGAGGAGGCGAGACTTACCCGTACTCTCGGTTCCCTGGACATCGGGGCAGGCCTGGAAGCTCAACAGGAGGCGACTCTCCTCCGTGCAGCTCTCAATGTTGGACACCGGCGACTTGCACTCCCCATGGCCCCGATTATACGTGAATATGAAGGGTCCTGCCAAGGGCGAAATATATAGAATGTTATAGAGGGTCCCTGAACTGTGCTCCAAGTTGCAAGTTGCTGGTACTCACCCTTGAGCGGACACTTGACCGGCTCGGCGCTCTCCCGGAAAAGCGAGTAGAGCAGGGCATCGCCCGGTATCTGGTCGCAGAGATTCTGTAAAGTCTCACGGCCCTTGCAAAAGTCTGGGGGACATGATTATTTTAAAAGCACAAATAAAAATTCAATTAATGCAAATCGCAAATTAGATGGTCGTTGAACACAGAACACACAGAAGTAGGAAACAAATAGGAATAGAAGTAGTAGTAGTGGTAGTAGTAGTAGCAGTATTAGTAGTAGAAAGTAGTAAGGTTTTAGTGGGAGCAGAGTAGGTAAGTAGTAAACTGTACTAAGTAATAGCATAAAACATTAAAGTAAGGGGGCATGGTTGAAAGGAAATCAAATCTACAAAGGGCTAGGGATGTGAAAAATATGTTTTATATATATTTTTTAATTTTTTTTCTTTTTTTTTTTTTTTTTGTTCAACTTTTCCGTTGAGTGCCGCACTGGAAGCTGTTCTGCTGCCGCTGTTGCTGCTGCTGTTGGGAATTCAACAACAACATCCAACATCCAACCTCCAGCCAGGGCCATCGCCAAGCATGCCATTTAAATTGCACAGAAATTTGTTTAATTAAGTGGCCGCTGATGCTGATGGTCCGGGAGAAAATTGCGCAAATAAATGACGAAATGAAGCTTTAAATCAGCAAAAATGTCGCAAGTCGAGCGAGCGTTGCGAGTTGCTTTCGTATGGCAAAGACAAAGGCAGAGGCAAAAGGGCATCTTGCCACCAGTTTGGAGCTTCAAGTGCGGCACAGAGTGGAGAAACAACAACAATTTCTGTGGAAATGTGTAAAAAGCAGCGGTAAGTACAATACATAAGTAAGATAAGTATGTAAGTTCCAGGAAAATACAAAAACGAAATACACAATAAAAACAAAAACAAGAAGGCAAACAAACCAAAGGCGGTAAGAAAGAACAAACCAAAGACTTATGACGTTCACAGAAATAACTTAAAGACAAGAGTTTTTCATTTTCAGCGGCGCTTCCTTTTGGCTTGTGGAATTGCACTGCCCAACTTCTGTATTGTAAACTCAACTGAAAGGCACGACACGTTCAAAAAAAAAAAAGTAAACGAAAAGCAAAAACACACACTTGGTTCATCTTGTTCTTCCGGCTCTGAAACCAAAAGCACGGAATCTGGATCTGGATAAGGTTTTGGGATTGGGTTTCGTTTTGGGGTTTTTCTTTCTCTTTTGGAGGAAGGGAGGGAGGTTGGTCATTGGGGAAACAGAGGTTGTAAAATAATGTTAGTGCCTGGTAGGGCCGTATATAAGGTATTTGTTGCTAGAGCAAGCATAACATTTGAATCAACTAAAAAATAATAACAAACATTTACTCATGATGAATAAATTGGGTAATCGGTGGTTTCTGGTTTTTATATGGCAAACGCGAGAGTTATATATATGTATGTGGCATATATAAAATATGTATATTTATATATGTTCTTTTGGTAAAGGGTCCTCTCTTTTTTCGTTTTCTTTTCTTTTCTTTTCTTTTTTTTTTTTTTTGCTTTAACTTGGTAAGAGTTGTAGAGTTGGTGTAAAAGTTAATTTGTAACTAAAATCCGTTTCGTATAAGTATACACCAACAGATACAGATATGGGCATAATAATATATACATAAAACACATTCAGGCAATGTTCTCAACAGTACAAAATGTTTACAGCTAAAAAGGCACACAACAAACGTTTGGTTTTTGTTCAACTTTTCTTTCAACAAATTGAATTGTTTTCAGTTTGTTTCTTTAGCAATACACAGGCTACGGCAAAGTAACTTAAAAACAGGCACACGCAGAGTCGCAAAAAGAGTTAACAAATTATGTTAAAAAAATACCAATTATATATAAGTGTGTGTGTGTTTGTGTAATGTAAAAAGCCAGGATATGCAGGATACACATGGGTGTAATCGACTGTATTGGGGTTTTTCGGGGCTCGGCCTTGTGGCGTTTTTGAGTAATGATTGTAATTAAGTAGCAACTACACTTTATGAGTTATACAAGGCACAAAAAGAAAGGTGTAGGGATGTATGGCAATGGGTGTCGGGTGTCGTGTGTCGGGTGTCGTGTGTCATAGGTGTGGGTGTCGGATGTTTTTCATATTATTATTTTTTAGCTGATATATGTGAGTATGTGTGTGCGTGTAATGGTCAAATACTACGGAGAAGCGATTGTAGCATATATATGGGAGTATATCATGACAAGGCAAAAAACGACATCACAGACATGGAAAAAACGTAGGGAAAAAATGGAAAATAAATTATAATACTTTTGCAGTTGGTTTTCGGTATTCTCTTTATGATTTTTGTTTTGTTTTTTTTTTTTTTTTTAGATTTTGTGGTCAGACCGACCGTTAAGCGCAGAGTTATATTAGATAGCCGGGCTAAATTACAGTAGAGTAGAGTGGCCCAAAAACATTCTAACGCACACGCACAACGAACAACAACAACAACAATGATAAATGAGAGAGACACACACAGCTAGAAAGTAGGAGGAACACAAAGGATTGAACCAACCAACGAACGAACGAACTAACGAACAAACGACACAATTGTAACTTATGAGTAACCGAGAGCAGAAATTGTTGAGTTTCATGTTAAAATTACATTAATTAAATTACACACATGTATGTACAGAACGTAGGGAGAACCGAAAAACTGAATAGAAATTAATTAAGCCAACTGAAGAAACCAAAAAAAAAAAAAAAAAAAAAATAGAGGAGGAAGAACATAAAAACGAGGACAGAACAAAGAAGAACTGAACTGAAAAGGACACAAACACGGACACACAGAAAAGGAAAGAACAACACAGAATGGTGAACCCATAGAGCAAATAGTAGTACGAATAGTAGTAGTAGGGTAGTAGTTAGGTAAAGTAGTAGTAGGTTGTTAGGTTAGGTAGAATGTAGTAAGAAGAAAGTACAATAAGTAATTGATAAATGAGACAATTATACTAGCGGTCACCGGGCAGCCCATCCCAACATTTCATCATCATATTATACAAAGATGTACTCGAGATATATATTCGTGGTTAAATATATATCGCATTTTCTTTTTCTTTTTTCGTTTTTTTTTTTTCATTTTCTCATAGGCATGTGCAAAGGAGCACAAAATTTAGCTGAAATCCTTTCTTGTTTTTGACATCCACGAAATTGAATTGGAAAACAAAGTATGACAGAGAGTAGGTAAAAGTAATGAGCTTTCATGGCTTTCTATTACAGATGTGTCTCGAATTCGCTTTCGTAGGCTCTATGGAAACAAATGAATTTTCCTGTTTTTAATCCTTTTTTTTTCATATATTTTTTTTATTAAAAGCGAAAACAGAAATTAAAAGGCGGGAACTGTGGGGGGATTTTGTGGTGGGGATTATCGGGTGCGGTTGGGTGCATTTTGGGGATCGGACAACTGAAGGTAACTTAACAAACCGTTAAACGAAATTTGAAAGGCATTCTTTTTTTTTTTTTTTTTTGGTTTTTGTTTTTGAAATGGAATGGGCGTTTGGGTTGTACGATTTCCAAGAGCTTGGCAGACTTGATCTGATTAGGAAAAACAAGGCAAAGAATTATTTCGAAAAACATTATTAACCATAATAAGGAGATTTACAAACCGTTCCCTCGGATCACAATCAAATTTGAAGTCTTAAGTGAGAAGTAATAATGGATTAAAATTAGAGGTTTTTTGGGGTTATATATTACAAGTGTATTTATGTACATCTCTTCATGCACCGCTACCAATCTTGGAAATCCTACTTTCAGCTTCGTCTCAAGCCGAAGCTCCAGATTTTTGGGTTATTCTTTTGAATATATTTTGGTTTTAGTTTTTAGTTTCGCTCGCTCATGGTTTTACTGTACAAAGTTGATGATGATTTTTTGTTAGCAGTGGATTAATATAAACATTAATAATCATAATCATGTACAAATACAAAGAGTTATATATAATATTCAAAAAACAAAATCAAAGCGTCTCAATTGGTGACAACGAACAGTATCTCAAGAAGTAAACTCAAAACTCAAATCAAAATAGTAGTAGTAAATATGTATGTAAGTATGTATGTACCAACAAACAAACACAATTAAATATCTGTACAAGAGAGAATATATGGAATTTGGACCTTTATTTACAGCGTTTATTTGTGTGTTATTATTGTCATTGTTCATATTCACATTTCTACAAACTGTCGTTTACGTTGAGGTTAAGTTTCTTACTGCCTCGAAATCGGAATCTGATTCTGAATCTGATTCTGATTCTTATTCTCATACTTCTGCTGCTGATGATTACGTTTATGGTTGCAGTTCTGTCGAATTTGGGTTTTAATACAAGAGGTTAGAGGTTTATGGTATGCAGCTCTCTACACTCACACCCCAGAAATAATTTCGGCAAGGGGCCCCCGAAGGAGGCGGCTAGACACGCAAAGATAAGTGAGCTTGGGCATAAAAATAATAAATAAGTATCAACAAAACACAGAACCTAACCGTAACCGTAACAAAACAAGGCATACAAATTAAGACGAATGAGGTTTATGGCACGAATTTTATGCGCATACAATACTATAATAATAGATACATAGATACATATAGACGGCGTGTATCCACGAAATTGACAATGGAACCGAACCGTGGCGGATGGCAAATAACCGGGCCAAAAGTGGAACCCTGGCCAGGATGGAGCTGGAGCTGGGGCTAGAGGGGTAACCTGAATGGAGCGACAACAAATTAATAGAACAAACGGGCACCGACGACAACCAAAACGGGCAAAAAATGAATGAGCACATAAAATATTGCATAAATAAATGAAATGAATTGAAATGAAAATGGCAATGTGAAAATATATGTATGAGCTGGTGTTTGTATGGCGCGCGCGTCTGTGTGTGTATGTGTGTGTGCCGGGGAACACACAAAAACAACAATTGGCAACACGGTGTGTGTTTGTTTGTTTGGCCAGGAGCGTTGGGAGATTTCCTTTTTTTTTTTTTTTTGGGCCAGGACCCGGGGAAAACACTCGAAATTGGTTGACACCCCGGGCGCCTGACGCCACTGAATCGCCCCGGAATCGGAATCCGGCTCTGTTCCCGGGTGTCCCTAGGTAAATAAGT